CACATGTGTTATTCACTTATTTTTCCTGACTCGTCAATACGAATATGCGACGAAAATTTTCCAGTCCATCTTTCAAGTTATTTGGTTTATATTTTTCATGGAAACAATACTTACAATATTGTAGAAAGTAGATCAATCACTAAACGGAAATAAAAGGTTAAGGTAGGAAAACTTCTAAGTAAATGCGTCTCTAACGTATTCAGGAAGTTCCACTTATAGGCCACATATTAATGTATTAAAAACAAATACGAGATATATTTAACCAATATAGAAAAAATAAATTCAACGTCACTAAGCTACATAGAAGAAATTTACATATTGCAGTCAAAGGGCAAAAAGTATTTTTTATTTTGATGATTTTTTTACGTTCAATTTAGTATTTAGAAGTTGTTTTTTATAACATATTTTGTCATTAAGTATTTTGCCCACAACGAGACTCAAGCGACACGCGGAGAGAAGAACATAAAAATGCTATATCGATAGGTGCCCTTTTGGGGTGCGTGATCCTGTGACGTACAAAAAAACTGAACAAGAGCTAAAAATACATAAAAAACTAAATTAAACTCTTTACCCTCACGAGCAAGGCTCACAAACATATTTTGTATCTGCCACATAGAAAAAAAGCATTTAACTTACCGGAACCGAGGCAGGGGTGCATATCATTAACGCAGCTATCATATCTACAACAACAACAATAACAGCCAAATAAGACACTCACTCTGGTTCTGACAACGATTGTGTGACGATATGCAGCGAAGCAATGGTGGCCAGTGAAGTAGTGTCATTTGCTCATTTGAAAAAAATGTTCCTCAGTCAACTAAAAATACAGCAATGGCGCTATGGCCTATGTAACGCCTGACACTGGATTTCAATGACATCAAAGCCCATTCGTTACAATAAATTCACTTTTATTGGGTCATTGTAGCGCTTCAAAAAATCCATAAAGTAAAAAGTCAAACGTTATAAAATTTTTGAAAAGGAATTTTTAGATATATTATCGGCAGAAACATTTTTAAAGGTATTCCTTTTAAGTTTATGCGCAAGAAGCGGAAACGGAAGTTGTATGTTTTACTCACTCTCGCACTTCAACTGCGAAATCGTTTGCTCATATATGGTATTTTATTGGTGTGTGCTGTGTTGAAAATGTGGTGAATTTTATTAGCAAGTACACAAACCTTTTTTCGCAGGATTACTTATTTCAGTAATCCTTTAACCCTTTCAATTGAATTGAATACAAATTCGCAATGCTAAAAATTTCTTATAAGAAAAGTAAGCGAAAATTGCCAGAGTGTTATGCCTAGAACAAAGACGAGGGTTGCATAATGAGTAAATCATATTATATAAATTAATTTCACTTATTTTTTTAATAAATTTATTATTAAAACTACATATAATTATTAAAATAAGTAAAAGTTAAAAAGACAAAATTTAAAGTGTTAATCAGTTTATATATAAAATAATTTTATATCCCTTAACCGTGATTTTTTCTTTCAGAGTTGCAAAAAAACAGCATTAAGTCTGGTTAAAACAAATTGGCTTTACTTTTAAAATATGTTAAATGTTTTCATTTGACATGTGTTTTTTGTTGTGTTGAGCACAACATGAATTATAAAAATTGTAAACACTAGAAATTAATTAGTTTAAATAAAAGAAAACAACATGAACATTAGAAGGGCAATGGTAAGCATTTTTATCTTATATATTTAAATTAATTTACTTTTTTATTATATGTATTTCAGTTTACTAATAAAAAAAATACTCATATGACTGGAACTTTGCTACATATTTCCTAGTGAACATTTACAATAGACTGAGTTCTGAAGTTGGCTACACTGAAACTTAAGACGTAAAATTTTTTGAGAGTAAAACCTAACTCTGAAAACTTTAAGAATATTATTGTTGCTTTTCATTGGTAAATTGGAAGTATTTTTTTGCTCCTCTGAAAGAAAAAATTACGGCTAATATGAATAATTATACATTCTTTTACACTTACATATTTCGCTAAGTTTTCTACATTTAATATATGATTTTACTAATTCAATAATTGAAACGTATAAGTTGGAGCGGACTAACCATTCCTCTACCTTTTTCATAACACTCTGCCGTAGATATTATACCAATACTTATTTTACTAGAAATTTTCGCTAAAACATAACCTATGTTTAATAAATATATTAATTATATTAATTCTATTATACATAGTTCCAATACTCATCTTAATTGTTACCAAAATTTAATCATTGATTTATTATAATATTTTTTATAAACTTTAAATGAATGAGATTTATTTATGAATGAATATGAATTAATTTCAGTTTCGCTAAAGTTAAGAGTATTAAATTTATTAAAAAGAATTAATCAAATAAAAGGAACTTCGAATGTTAAAAAAAAGACTTTTAAATAAGTATTAATTTCATACTTCTTGTTTACATTATATACAAACACACACATTTCTTAATCTACGATAAAATCTTGAAGCACACAACCCAATCAATTAAATTTCGTACAATTAAAACACAACGACAACAACAAAAATTCCAATAATATTAAATGGCCCATCACTTGATGGATCGTGCGTCGTAATATTAACCAAATTATCAATATGCTTATCATGGGAAACAAAAACTTCGAAAATAAAAAATATTTAAATATATTTTTATTTAAAAAATTAGGCGAAAGTTATAGTCAACATAAAAAAGCTATCAAATTTATTTTAATCAAGTGGCAAGCTTTCACATGCCACAAACGTTTCCAACGACAAGAAAATTATAGTCGAGATAAATTCTAAGATTTGCCCACAACGCTAAGGTGCCCTTACTACGCGCCGATATATCCCGCCTTTATGCCTGCTCTCAACAACGTTATTACCAACATTAAAATCTCCAACGAAGCCAACAACTTCAATGACAACAAATTAACAAACTTAATTAAAATGTTGCTGTATTGTCTCTTCACTCTTTGGACAGTTTTGAGACTACAACAACAGCACTAGAATCGAAGCCCAATCGACTGGAAACCCATTTTTTGGGGACAGAAAATATTTGATTTTCTTTTCTAAGCTCAACACTTACGTATTTTATGTTTGTCTCAGATTTTTATGGCTTTTTGTTGAAATAAAATTTTTTTTGTTTTAGTTTTGATTTTAGTTTATCGATGGAGTTATCTCTTCCAACTCAGCTTGGTACCACCTAATTGGCTCGAAGTTTGGCTAATTTAGCATGTGGATTTCAAACGTTTCTCAACTTGATTTCGGCAATAAAATATAATAATGTGTCAACCTTCGTTTTTTTTTTGGGTGTAAACGAATAGTAACTCTAAAGGGAGCTTTTAATTTTACATTTCTTTTATATGAAAAAAAAAAATAAAATTGTTATGAAGGCATAAGTAAGCCAAGCCTTAGTTTGGTTTTCTTAAAGCAAACAAATTTTTGAAAATTATAAATTGAAATAATACATGACCTACAATAGTTAGTATTAAGACATATCTGCATAAATAAATTCAATTTAAAAAAAATATACCAAATCTACATGAAAACTCAATGATTGATAGCCTTTCGATAGACTTGTATCTGTGGATATGAATCTAAAGCACTCGATACGCGAAAAGCATGAACTAATAGAAAAGCCAATAATCAAATTTACTTGACGAGGTCTACTGCTAGGTACTTCGTAACTTAAACAAGATACTCACACTTCGATGATATCAAATAATATCTCAAATTATGCAAAAATTGTATAAACAAAATTTTTCTTTAGTTGCTAATTTTATATCAAGGAATTGTGTTGGGAGTATCTTAATTATCAAGCATAGCATCTTTGAAAAACCGCCAAAAATAAAGCACATATCGAGTTTACTCAAATCTTTCCAGTATTTTCCGAATTTAACTTAAACATACGTAAGGTCATTCAAAGCTCGATAAATGCAATCTGCATACTTTTAAGTTTACGTTTGTACAATTAATTATTGTTTATTAATTAGTTAGTCTATGAAGTTAGGTTATAATCTAGTATTAGACGCAAAGATCTCTGCTATATCATCAGTTTCAATTTCCTTGATATGACGGTAATTAGCACGTTCTTTATTTAGAGAATATCTGTAAAAATAATAATACGAAGTAATTTTGCACGAAAATCAACAGCATTATCTCATCAGTTCGAAGTATAGAAGCAGGGATTTCTCAGGGACCGCCACTTTACCCCATTCTCTACAATATTTATACGTCCGATATCCCAATGTTAGGTTCCTCGACAGTGGCCTTATACGCTGACAATACGTGTATGCTATACTCAGATAAATGTGCTGTTAACATAACCAACACACTAAAAAGAGCCTATAAACCTAATCCTGGAATATTTTCAGAAATGGAAAATAAAAATCAATAATGAAAAATTTAAAAATTAAAATCTCAATGCTAAAAACTGGAAGCTGATATATACCCATATAATTCGACCATCACTTCTTTAAGGGTGTATAGCGTTCAGCAAGACCTCAAACACTACAATTCGCCAACTAGAAACTGCACCAAGCTAGGCTCTGAGAAGTCTTTTCAAGGTACCATGGTACATTAGGACGAATTTCATCCTCAGGAACCTCAAGATTGAATCGATCAAAATATACATAAAATTATTTACGGAAACTGACAGACTTACCAACACCGCGTTATCGAATCTCAGAATCGTTACAGGCTCCTCGGGGAAATATGCAGAGGTCAATTATTGCTTAGTCTGATGAAGTGATAAACAATAATTCAGTCAAGGCGTTGAGAAAGGTTATGATTAATACTGAGTAAAAGAGCTCAAGTTCATTGACTCAACTAGCCTTAACATAAATAAAATAAATAAATATATTTAATACATTATATATTACAGATCTTGACTAGAAACCACATTCTTCAGTGCATTTTCTAATTAAAAAAACTTGTTTTATAAGGTATATCAATAAATTTTTTAATTAAAGTCATATTAAAGATAAATAAACGAAAAAGTTTTTAAATTAAAAAATTTAATAAAGTAAAACATTCACCTTTCAAGGGATCTTTTAGCTTTCTAGTTTAAATGAATAATTCACAAATTCAGAACAATCGAAACTGCTTTTGCAGGAAATACATAAAGAAAACTTTTCGACACTTTTTTCGAAGAAATACTAACCCTTTAACAAGCACATCTTTAGACGACGAAAACACTATATTCTATTTTGGAGATGATGATAAATATATATCACTGCAGAACTTGCAAAGTCTTGTCATTAACTCTACGATTCCAAATAAAGCAAAAGAGAATACAAACACATTAAATGTGTCAATTCCAACCAAAGATCGCATACGATTCTTTCAATATCGAAATAATGTGAATGTGGGTATTTCAGTTCCCCGTACAAAGATTCCAAAAGATTCCATTACTAGTCTTTTGAAACTAATTACACAACTTTTAATTGTGGATCTTAAGTTACAAGGAACAATTGTTGCTTTGTGCACTTGCACTGGAAGAAAAATCACATTTTTAGAAGAACTTAAAGTTGGAGAAACTTACATTTGCCACTCTCATACAGAGCCCACCAATAATGTCACTGCAACTGCTGAACCAGTGAACACGGTAGAATCAATAAAACTGACCAATATTCGACGTCCAAATTTTTGCTTTCAAAGTCATTTAAGGCGCGAAGGTAATATACGCCCACGCACAATAATCGTCATCAAAAGTGGTCCTAAGCCTAGAAGAATTCAAAAGGTCTATTTGAATCAGTTGAATTGTTTAAATTTAAGATATGTTCAACAAACTATAGCTATTGCTTTAAAATTTAATACAGAACGTGTTGACCACGTATTTACTTTATGGGGGTTATTAGTAGAAAATATAGAAGAGTTTTTTGGTGACGAAGACATATTTTTCGCCTGCGGAAGTGCTTACTTTTACTATATGCAAACATTGGTGCTAGACTGGGAGGACATAAAAACCGTAGAAAAAATTTGTATGCAGGATCGTAGTATTGGTTTAGCTTACCAAGAATCTAAATATGAAATACCAAAAATCACAACAATAGAAAACTCTCCGGACTTTATTTCGAAAATAGTAAATGATTCACCATTGTTGTTAAAGGAGAAGTATGTGTTTGGTGGAATAATTGGAGAAGGTCATTTCGCTGTAGTAATGAAGATTAAAAAGTTAAAAACGAAAACTCCGTATGCTGTTAAGATAGTTAAAAAGATCAAAACGTATCAAGATGAGCAGTTATATAAAGCTGAAATTAATATTCTTTTGAAAATAAAACATCCACATATTGTTTTCTGTAAGGAAATCTATGAACGGCTAGATAAATATTACATTGTCATGGACTATATTAGTGGAGGAAATCTCTATCAGGCATTGCTAAAAGCAAAGAGGTTCTCGGAAGCTGACTGTCGTTTAGTAATGAAAAAACTTTTCAAAGCTTTAGTTTATATACACTCAAAGAATATAATACATAGGGACATAAAGTTAGAAAACGTTTTAGTTCAGCGCGATGTCAATGAACGGATTTGTGACATAAAATTAACAGACTTTGGTCTATCTACAGAAGGCACTGAAACTTCACGTAGTAAATGCGGAACGCCTTTATATATGGCACCGGAACTTGTATTGGAGATTTGCTATGACAATAAAGTGGACGTTTGGTCAGCTGGAGTCATGATGTTCACGCTTTTGTGCGGAGACAATCCCTTTCAGCATGAAGTGAGAAATACTTTATATAAATTCATTATTATAGGAAAGTATAAATACCCTAAGATTATTGAAGATCAAATTTCCATTGAATGTAAAGATTTAATCAAAAATTTGTTAAAAGTTAATCCAAATATACGATTCTCAAGCAAGAAAGCTCTTCGCCACTATTGGTTTAATAACAAGAAGTTTAAATAATTATTTAATAATTTTCTGCCAACAGTTTTGATGAGTCTCAAGAATTTGATACTTCAATAATTTTCATAAATATACAAATGGAAGATCTGCTTATAAATATATTTTTAAAATCATATAAAATTTTATGTATATATTATTTGATATAAAATAACTATTAAAATTTTAAATTACAACTAAAAATTTTTAAAATTTTTGAAAATAAAATAAATTTGAACAAATCTAAAATCTTTTATAATTTGAATCAACGACCTTTATAAATACTTCACTCTGTCTTCGAAATACTTCACTCTGAAATGCTTTTCCCTATATAACATTTTCTAAACATTTATTTTCTTATAGTTTGTATCCTAGCTATAACTGATACTGCTGCCTTATAAGTACTAACATTACTTGCCTCAGTGTAGGTAACTGGATTCTTATATGTAATGCTTTCCAGGGTGCAGTTTGAATCAACAATGATGCAAGGCAGATGGTAAGGTGTAAACGCCATAGATAGGTAAACTGCTATCAAATTCAAAATAAAAACCATATATCATCTCAGTGATATGAATGCAACAAACAGCGTTCATCTAACTTGGATTTCGAGCTTCACTGAGATCGTAGAAATATTGTAGAAGTGATGAGCTGACCAGTCTTGATACTATGGCTTCTAATAACGCAATAATATAGAAATAAAAATCAGTTACTCCATTATACGTCTTATTAGTCATCAGGGAACTACAGTAGCAGCGTATGACTTAGAGATAGAATAAGCGTTTGATATATCATCGCTTCTTTCACCGAAAATGTGGAATAAAAGAACAAACACTCTCCTAAGTAATAAAAGGAATAGTGACGGACAGCTTAAGTTTATCATAACAGATATTGCATATTGGTAGGTATGCATGCTACTATATGAGAACCTCCCAGCAAAGATTTTTGTAGATATTGTCAGAAAGAAAATAGTTGAATGAATGTGGTGTGGTGTGATATGAATGATATTGTGTCACTGATCAACATTTTTCAGACATAGAATAAACTTCTTTGAAGAAATTTGTTTTGAAGATTTTACAGAGCTATGTATGGTCGATGTAATATATTATATGGATTTATAAAGATGTAAACTCAAAGAAGAAATCTGATATGAATATATTGCAGAGCTAAGTATAGACTATGTAGAATATAATACGGATAGTTATTTGTTTTAGTTGCTTAATAGAGATGGTTACAGAGATGAGGCAGGTTCCCAAATAGTATCCCCCACATCAACATCAACATGCCTAATTTAGTTCTATTTTCAGTCATTAACAACATTCATTTTATCGTTTCGTACTAAGAGCTCTACATTTGCAGTTTAGGTTTCCATCCACACATACAGCATCAATTATATCCTTCGTTAAATTACAAAACTATTCAATAATACCTTCAATGCGTTTCTTCTGAAGTTTCTGACACACGTATTTAGAAATATCTTGTCAAGATAAATAGTAGCTTTGAGACTTGTAAGAGTAATAAGATTTATTTGAGATATTACTAAATGGAAAATTCAAAAAGCAAATCTGCATCTCTTTAAATAATCTGAATTATTTCCATAATAAAGCATATTCGAGCATTATTAAATTTAAACTACAAGCAATTTATTTCAATTTTTTACCATTTAATGTGATATTTGCTTTATTAATCAATTTGCGGCTGAAAAGTAAAGTTCGAATTTTTAATATTTTAGTTGCAATATGAATACAAAATTAGTTGACTTTGACTTAGAAAAATTTCACTGAATCCACAATGATTTCCTCAATTAAAACAAAATCACACCCAAAAACGTTCAATTGAAATTAATTGAAAAACAACCTTTACAGGTTCAGTGACTGTCAGTTAGACTTAATATTAGCATAAACTAAAGTATTGATACGAAGGTGGTTATTGGTTATTGGTATTAGTGACGCCCCTCGTAAATTGGCGCTTAGCATAGAATAAAGTCTGCACCTGTAGAAGAAAACGTTAACTGCAATTCCGCATGAACTGTCAAGTGTTCAGAGAGCTACCAACAAGCCTATTTGTACGTGAGCATTACGAAAATTTACCTCAATAAGAAATCATCATCACATCAATATTGTATGAATTTTATGTACGCCAGCAGTGTATAAATAACAAGAGCTTCAGTTCGTATGGAATAACATAAAGTGGCAGCTAAAGGCGAATATTGCACGTGATCGAATTGTAGTTGCGTTTGCAATTAGAAATCCAACTCACGAATTTAAAAGTGAATACCATAATCATGGCTTATGGCTTCAGTTATAAGCAATATATGTACAACAGAAAAAAACAAAGTTCGTCACTGCTTGAAGACACTTCAATGGCTACTCTGGTACCGCTGAACTTATGTACATAGATACCGTATTACTTAGTATTTGTGCATGAGCGAATGGCTAAGCGCGCAACACTCACGCACCAAATATTGAGCCAAAGTGAGTTAGGCCTCCCTCCTAAGCCGAATTGTAGTTGGACTATTACGCTTTACGAGTATTTATAGAAAGAATCCATTACGGAATAAAACTGTATAAAGAAATATTTAAGCGGTGTACACATTATTCGATTTACGTGCCGTCGATCTTTGGCAACCCTATATGTAGACAAGACGACAATTTCTCTGCGGTCCCCTCCTCAGCTTTTTTATTATAATAAACATTTAATTTTATGGTTTGGGAATTTCTTGATTCATTTTGTAGTGTTTTGACTAATGTTGGGAAAAAATTTTATTATTCGTAGATCCTTTTTTGTATAAACAATTAATTGAAAATTAAAATTAATTTAATTTTTCTTTTTAAAAATATTTTTTATACAAAAACACGTCACTTTAAATTCAAATTTTAAAAAAATGAGTAAGTTTTCTAAATAATTTAATTGCTCCTATAAATTTAAGCAGTTTAATCAAAAACTATAAATTTAATATTTGTATGTAATGACAAATTAAAAGTAAGGAATGATATATATAACTTCTTCTTATACTATATTCACCTAACCTTTGGATATAGTCAGTTAAAATTAAAGCGATCGACCGACTACATTGAGAATTTTATGACTAACCTTACACATTAATAAACTCTAGTACGTCGTTCTTCTATAGACTGGAAAAGTCGTGGAGTGACTTCAAGAACTGTGCGCTTTTTTGCTTCATTACGAAGCTACAAAATCCTGTGCAATGGCTAAAATAATTAATGCTGGTTTCTTTTTCTAACATCTAACATCTACACCACTATAAGGTGAGCTAGCCCAACGCTATGCCATTTCAAAGTTCAGTGTACCTGTTGCCTGATATATTTCAAAAATTTTGTTTTTATTCACATTAATCAAGTCTGAAGTTCTGTATCGGGAGTACATTCATCAAACATCCCACTGTTTTGTTCATATTAATCACGTCTGAAGTTTTGTGTTGGAAATACATTTATCAGCCAACTCACTAGCTCACCGTCTCACTGCTATGGTAAAATCTGACTAATCCCTAGTGGCCTGCCGCAGAACATAATTGTTCTTGATTATTCGATCAACCGTACACAGTTTCGAAATACTATATTACCCCATGCCTTACAGGGAGTTTATAGAAATATAGAAAGATTCCGCAACTACCATATGGAATGTGACGATAATTACATTCGAATCAAAATTGTTTTACTGAATCTTAGATTATTAGCAATTAACACTACAACTCTCATAATATCCAGGATAAGCCTGGAGAATTAGAACCCATTTGATTAATAGGTTAGGTGAATATCAAACATATGACGAAGACGAGGGCAAAAGGCGGGAACCTTCACATCATAATCAATTCAATCTTTGTTTTTAAATTTAAATGATTTTTAATTTATCAACTTACACGTCTGATATAATCGTTTTAATATTATTTTATGACTTGATGTTTTATAACCAAATAACATTCCTAGAAACCACTATTTAACCCTTACTAAATTTTGGTGAGTAAATACACAATTTATGATTGTGAAGTTAATATATAAATCAAATTACTTAAAATATTTCAAAACTTCATAAAAACTCTTTCAGATCAACTTAAGTTTCTGATTTACTCAGTGATTTTCACACTTCAGGAGAGTTCATTCCGAAATTGGGGCACACAATTAAATATAAATTATATTTGATATTTATTATATTTTTTATATATTCATGCGTAAATTTACATCATATTAATATTCTTTTGAATTTGTTTATTCTTGACTTCTTTAATGCTAAAAATACACAAGAAATATTTGAATTCATAAGAGACTTAAGTGCACAGGTTCGGTGGGGTTAATAACCAAAACAAATATGGCAAAATCATGCTAATTACATGGGTCAATTGAAATTTAAGAGCTAAAAATACAAACAATTTAAGAAATAATTTTAAAAATAAATTAATTTATACGAATTATTTTGCACATCGATTGCAATTATTGCGAAATTCCACGAAATTTATACTTTAATTCAGTTGAGGTTTATAAAAGTGGTTCAGTATACGATTAAAGCATAACCCGTTAAGGCCCTATTCATTATAAACATATATATAATCATAATTATTTTCTACTGTTGGTGGAAAGTATCGAAACCCACGGTATAAGGCTTGTACCCTCTAAAACCACTTATTAGGAATGATTATAAAATAATTCCGGCTGAAATCACATTCCAATAAACATGGAGAAAAAGATAAGAAGCTAACTATTTGGATTTCCAAATTCAACTAAGTTAGGATTAAAAACGTTAATTAAGTTAATTATTAACGATGATGCGAAGTTACCAAGAAATTTGACTCTGAGTGGGTTACTATATCAACGATTAAACAAAGGAATTATAAAGACAGGCTGTAACATTTCATTATAATAGACAGCAAGGATTGGGTAGACTTATTAAAATGAACTTGAAGAGCTCAGTGGAAAGTTTTTCAGTATGCAAAATATCAGGAACAGAATTATGGCGATAAGTTAGATATCTATGAGCCAAGGAGTACAGGACGACTAGTCCAATCTTGAAAAAACTAATTTAAAAAAAATTTTTATGACAACTGTTTCATTATCATTTTCAATTTTAGTTGTGATATCTGACAGCACTAAAAAACGA